CCTGCCTGGCCTGGCCTACCTACCCACCCACCCACCCACCCACCCACCCACCCACCCACCCACCCACCCACCCACCCACCCACCTACCTACCTACCTACCTACCTACCTACCTACCTACCTAGCTACCTAGCGACCTACCGACCGACCGCTCCAGAACCCTCGAGGCTTCAAGCACAATGAACAGGAAAACCCTGAAGGCCACAAGCCCTACAAACCCTAACCTCTGAGACCCTACAAACCCTCAAAACCCTGAAATCCTGCCAGGCAAAAAGCAAGGCCTGAAGGCCCGAAAAAGGAAAAGCCCTGAAGGCCACGGTCTTCCTCCCCATTTCACTGGTCATTTGCGCGGTCGAGTGGAGCAGAGGGACGAGGACAAAGCCGCAGCTTTCCATAGCAGGCAAGGCGCTGGGCAGGGCAGGGCCCTAACTAAACCCAGAGTGGGAGATAAAGGGGTTACAGCTCTTGGCTTGGGGTTTAGGCTTATGGTCTTAATGCCCAGTGAACAGTGTATTAAAGATCGAAAGATGCAAGGCAGGGGACGGCTTGTGAGGGCAATGTGAAGGAGCCCTTGATTCCAGATTAAGTTAATAAGAGGGCCGACATCAAGAATCCCAGTGCTCAATGAGAACCCGGGATGTCTTCATCATTTCAATTGCGTCGGTGCAGAGACGTATCAGGTGATGCTCGAGATCAGCATGCCCCTTGTACGCACGCCTTTGGCGTTATTATTCATGAGGTTGCTTGATGCCGGTTGGTTCTCGATGGCTACCCCAAGCCCTAAATTAAATCGATCACCCAAGTTGTTCTCGACCGTCTCCTATCAGTTTGCCGTTAAACGATTTAAAAAACCTCGGCTGTGGCGGTGTCGAGCTACTGTGCTACTTAAGCATGTGTTGACCCCAGCTATCATCGTTCATCACCATAACACCATACGTGTCAGTTAATGCATCTACTGTGCAGACAACATGTTTGTGTTCATCTACATATGCATATATACACACATGTATATATAGATGGATCTAAACATATAGTATATATTTCATATGTACATACATATACATATGTAA